GAGGAAAAAAAGAAAAACCTCCAAAACACAGGCTTCAGATTCTGACTTTATCATTATATTTGCATTAAATTAAAATAGAATGGAAAACATTAATGTTTCTTTTGCCTGCTGTGGTGGATGTTTGTTTTTCTGGATCTGCAGTGCAATAGTTTAACCAGAAGTTTTCTCTTGAGGCTGCAAAGTAATGAGCAGTGATGATTGGGGATATTCTTAATATTTTCATTTGAGTTTTCATCTTTTCCATGAACTTCAATGAAAGCTAATGTTCATGTTACTCATTTTCTACTTCTTACTAATTAGTCATTTAAGAAAATATGAGTGAAGTAGTTCTTGTTTTCCTACATCGCTCTGATTAGAAAAAAAACATCTGTAAACTCTGAGGAACGGAGAACAAATTGACAAAACTCAGACTTAAGTTGAAACATCTTGGATTTGTTCAGCTTCAGTAGGCAATTTTTAATGAAAATTTGAAGTTGCTTCAACTGATTCCACTGAGCCAATTCAACTACTTGTAGCATTTTTAGTAGTAAATATCAAGATGTTAACTAGAATGTTAGGCTTTGAATGATTTCGCTGCCTAGGTTTAACTTAAACTTGTAAAGAAATGTTGTAATGTTAGTAAATGGCCAACTGCAGTTGAACAGGTATGGTACCCAGCTTAATGCTGGTAGCTGCAGAGAGACAGCTGAAATTGCTTCTTAGAACACACATAATTGCTTTTGGAAATTGTTAAATGTTTCAAGATTTTTTAATAGTGAAGTTGTGTTGGATTCCATAAACATGACTTCCTGGATTTAGCTGCCGTGTCAACACTTTCAGTGAAGGCATAGGAGTGGTTAAAGCCTGCATATATGCTCCAGTCTTGGGCATCTGTCTTGCTTTTGGGAATGCTGGGTCAGGAATTTCTACCATTTGCTTCGCTTGCCAATGTGAAACTTCGGGAGCATTCAGTACAATTAGAATAGCCAAACTTTCACTTCTTGATTTCCTATGCAAAGGAAGTTTCATCTCTTGGGTTTGTCAGTTATTTCACCCAGTAACTTTTGACCTCATCACCAGTGATAAGCAAATTTAGCATAAGATAAAAAGAAATATATATGTAGTTCTTCAAACTAGTGAAAAAAAGAGCCGGGTAGCAGAAAGTGCTCCAAATAGGTCCTTCAGCAGAGGAAAAAACAGTTGTAGATTCTTGTTCTTGGAGTAAGCAGCCAGATGGCAAGATGAAGCAGACGTGTTGACTAAGCCCTGGCATACTCATAGCTCTGTCATTTGGCAGCCAAACAGGTGGCAGCTGTGGAACAGAGCTGTAGGAGAACATGCTGAGGTATTGGAGTGAGGTGGAAACAAGCTGGAAGAACCTGTGGGTTCTAAGACTCAAGTTCATAGGAATTCAGGCTTCTGTAACCTCCTTGTTCATGTAGTCAGAGGCAGCAACACTGGGAGTGAAGGAATTGTCCTTGTCCTGCCAGTTCAGCCAAGGATTCTGTTAGGCTGTTTTGCTGCAAGGGCACACTGCTGGCTCACGTTCAACTTGTTTTCTTTTCTGCAAAGCTACCTTCCAGCTGGCCCAGCATTTATTTGTGCCTCGTGTTGTTTCTCCCCCCCAGTGCAGAGCTTTGCAATTCTACCTCTTCAGGGAAAGGTTTTTTCTTCAGGTTTCTATCTGAAGCCCCTTCTTTCTCAGCCACATCCCTCTGGATGGCAGCACAGCCCTTAGGTCTACCAGCCACTCCTCCCAGTTTTGTGTCATCAGTGAATTGGTAAGGATGCACTCTGCCCCATCATCCTGATTGCTGGTGAAAATATAGAATAGGATTAGACTCAGCACTGACCCCTGGGGTTCACTGCTGAATTGTCATTTGGAGCTTCAAAATTAGTAGATTTTGCTTGCATTTTTGTTTAGCTTTCAAACCCGAATGTCAAAGAGGTCATGTTTTGTTACATGAAAGTTGTGACTTACATGGCATGTGCTTGCCATAGCTAATGGTACAAATTAGAATCATGATTTGATGATATCTTGTATTCTTTACAATTTTGGTGCCTTAATAAATTTCATAGTTTTTTTTCTGTTAACTTTTATTTTGTTTTATTCTTTGTATCGCTGTGGTGTAAAATACACTGATACCAGGGAAAGAGGCAGGAGGAATATATGTGGAGATGAATACGTTTCATTATTGGACATGTTACTGATAGAGCAGGGTACAGAATTCAGTCTTCAAATGTACTCAAACAGTACTTTGGTACTTAAATAGACTACTCGGCTTAATCATTGTCTGTGAGGTTTACTATTTTGTTATCATTCAGTATCGAGCTTAATTTTGTCTTTAGAACTACTTTCCCTTCACTTGGTAACTGTAGGCTGCCACCTTCTGGTGAAATCTGTTAACAGTCTTGTAAGGACCTGGTAGGTGTTCAGAAGAGAGAAATGCATTAGAATTTGGAAAGCCTAGTTGGAATACACATATATACATACATATATATATTTAATTAGAGGAACGTAGATATTTGTAGCAGGAATATGTATTAGAAGAAGAATCTTGGGAGAGTTTATTGCAAATCTCTCTTCTTCCCCTTTTCCCTTTTCCATAGCGTCTTTGGGGAATGTAGAGGTAGGGTTGGTTTCTTGGCAGTTTTCTGTCTGCTGATACTGAGGTGCGTCGTACTGTGGCCTTTCAACATCAGTGTGTGAGCAGTAGCTGGCTATTATTCTGATCAGGTGATTACTGAAACTGTGTAAGGTGCATTTTTGTATTGACATTCAGTTGTTTTTACATAAAAACATGCCATTGCATTAAAGCATTTAAGTTGTTAATGCCCACAAATGCTAGCTAAAAGGTGAAGAAAAGAGGAGGGCCACTGAACGTAAGTATTTCTCATAGGTGACAGACATCCTCACAACTGATATGAGATGGTGTAAGAAATTATTGCCTTTTCTCTGAAAGCAAGTCTTATGGGAGACAAGTAGAACAAGCCATTGGAAACTTATGTGCTTGAATCCAGAATTGTTAATGTAATTTATGTGGCAGGTAAAGTTGCTTGCTTTTAAAACTAAGTGAATTTGCCTTGAAGGTGATGAAAAGGTAAGCAAAAGTCCTTTAGAGATCAGGTAATAAATGTGAGGGTAGGATTAGTGTATTGAAATAGTGGTACAGTTTCTTCTGTGAATGTTGTGTGTATCCATGGATGCTGACTGCGTGTGGGAAAGAGGAAAGAGCAGAAAAACAAGCAGGATTTTAAAGCTTTGAAAGTGTGTGATCCAGAGTATACAGTCTTCTGCCTTCTATGATTTGGGGACATTTTTACAAACTTCCCCATTTTTATTGACTTTAATGACCTAAAATTTATTTAAGTGAATTATAATTTAGAGAAACCTTTTAGGAGAGTATCTGTAAGGAATTACTAGGTTTATATAGTCCAGGGAATACTGTTTTCCAGGGACTGGGACTACTCTGCTGAACCCATGCCCCAAGAAAAGTTTCAGACAAAGTCCAGGACCAAGGAAGTGTTCTGGAGTCTGTGTTAAGATGAGTTAACTAAAACACATTGCCAGAGGAGACCTAAAAAGCCCAATGGCAATTTTCCTTAAATGTGGTTTGAACAAAAGCTAGAGGAACTTTTGTTTCTTTGTATGCGAAATTACTGATCTTAAGGCATTTTTCATCTTTAGGAATTCTATGCAAAATACTGTTATTAAGGCTTATTGAGAATGGAACATGAATGACTTCAGATTTCTAGCTGCTGCAAGATAAGAATTAGCATTTATTTAGAATCTTTGCTTCCTTCTTGAGCGGTCAGTTGTTACTGACAGTACTCTGTGTCTCTGGTATGGGATGATGAGCTATTCATTCATGAGCCTGTCATTAAGGGAACATTATTATTTCCCAAAGTGTATGAATGTGCTCTTGGTCTGTTACCACGAAGCAGGAAGTACTCCTTGGGAAGAAATTTGTGTTCTGTGTGATAATTATTTACTATAGGATAAGTGACTGGTTGGTTTGGTGCGTTATTCTTTGTTTCTATGCCATTTCATTCCCAGTTCTTATTTCTGCCATTGCTCTTTTCAGTTTTCTTTCATGCTCCATATAAATCTCATACAGGTTCTTTACAGAGTTAGCTGTTTCCCTTGTCTAGTTTGTTACTGCTGGAGTTATTTAAGTGCGATGGATGCCCAGGCTCAGACTGCCTTCACTGGGAATGCAGAGCTGCAATAAAAGCTGGTTTCCTATATGAAGTGTGCAATAACAGCTCTGTGTTTCCTTTGAATCTAGTAACTAATAGTGGGGGAAAAAGCTGCTCTAGTATTACCTTTTCTCTATATGTACGTAGGCTTGTCTTCTCACACAGGTGTGTGTTTAGAAATCCTAGCTCTTTGCAGTCATGATGTGACAACCTTAACTAAAAAAATCTATATTGTAAACTAGACCAACTCCTGAAGAAATCTGTATATTCATTAACCACTATTTTCAATACCAATCACTGCTTTACTCGTGTTATTTACTAGGAAAGTGCTCCTTAGAAACCTCTTCAAATTTGGAGGCATGGGGCTTAGTTTTATTTGGGGTGTTTGTTTGTTATTCTCTCTGGAAGGGCAAACAGAAATTCTGTAAAACAAAAGCTGTCTGTTCAGGACCAGTTTCACCTGACCTGGTCTCCATCCTCCAGTACAGGTTGTGGTCCTCACAGGTTTCAGGTGTGCTGGGTGGAGGAAGTGTAAAAGATTTCAGTAATTAGGCATTTGCCATCATAGCTAACAGTGGGCGTTGATTTGAAGACGATTCTGCAACAGCGTAGTAATACTAGCAGAATATTAATGCAAAAATATGAAGCTGATGGAAAAATACTGCTGTTAGATTTGAGGTTTGTTGCTTAGTGTACCTAGGGAAGGAAGGAAAGACAGAGCTTTGGAATTGCTTCATTTCTTTGCCGTATTTTCTTCTGCTGTTTGTTTGTGTCATTTCCCATAGCTGCTTCAAGTACATTGTTGAATTTTTAATTTTGTGAAGAGTGATTGTATTAAATAATTTGCAGACTATGTAGCTTTTGAAAAAGGAAGGAATACAGAAAATGTCTAGATAAGAGTGAGAAAGGTGCTTGGATGTAATCTCTGAATGCTTTGATGTGACATATCGTAATAAAGTACAAAAATACAAGTGTTAGTTAAATTTATTTAATTTATTTTGAATCCCAATAGCAAATATACACTAAATAGATATATAAAATATCCATTCTATACAGTACTGTCAGGATTGAGAGTTCTATGTGCTGACCTGTGTAAGAAGTCAGGGTAGTTGAGTTCCAGCTATCTGCTTGCGTTCTGCAATTTTAGGATACTTAGTAAAATTAATGAGGGATTCTTAACCCGTGTGATGTCAGAATATAAAGGAAAAAAATTAAATGAAAAACATGATTACAACTATTATAGGTAAGAGAAGATGATTGTGCTGGCCTACAGATTTTAGTAAACATTCCTATTAAGCTTAAAGCGTATGATAAACCTTGAATCATCCTTTTATCATCCAGAGTGCATCAAATTATACTGGTAGAAAACATTGAACATTTCCTCGTTCAAGTTGCAAGAATAAATACCACAAACTTTTAAGTGTTCTTATGTGCTAATTCTTGATATGAAAACCATTTTTATCTCCCAAACTAAAATATATTCTAGTTTAGAGATGAAAGACCTCACAGTGCTGATGCTGTACCTTCTTGCATATTTTCCTGTTCACTGGTTACCAGAAAAGCACAAGAATTTGTCAATGTCTGGTAGGTTTTTGCATCTTTTTTAACAATACTATTTAGCAAAGGAAAGGTCCTTACTGTGGAATAAGTGACTCCTACTTTAGTTCTAGAAGTTATTTTGAAAAAAGAATATGGCAAAATACGTGATTAAAGAATTCAACACCTATTACAGGAAACACCAAGTGCAGTTTCCAGTTTCAGTTCCAAGAGTCCTTCCATGAGATAAATATTGCTGCTTAAATTATTCAAATGTGGCTTGAACATTGTCAAATAAGGCAATGGCACCTGCTGCAATATCATTTCTAATTAACTTTTTCTGAAATAGTAATTACTTCATAAACTGGTTAAATGTTGGCATTTTCAGGAAATTTCAAGTAACGTAGAAACGGTTTGGACAGGTTGCTTTTGTAACCCCTGACTTTGGTATCACTTGAGGAAATTTCCCAGCTGCACGCTGTTCCTGGCTAAGATGCAGCGGAAGGTTGAAGGCTGCACCTCCCAGTACTTCACAGGGTTATTGAAGAGGCTTATCCCGCTGTATAACGCTTTCTTCTTCCTTCTTCCTGTTGGACAGAAGTCGTTCACTCCCAGTTTTGCAATGTGGTTCGAATGAAGGAAGACCACCTACAGCAGGAAAAAAACAGTGAAATGTCATAGCTCAGCGTGTAAATGGGAAAACACTTTCATTAGTGAGTAGGTAACTGATGTATGTGGTGAGAACAGCTGGATACAGACTGCTAATAAAATCATTAATTGAATGCTTGTTTTAAGTGCTTAGAAAATTCTTCCCACGTATCACAATCTCTTCCATCCCACAAAAGCTAACAAATAAAAAACATACGGTATTTTATCAGTGTGTTCTCAGATTTTGTCCCTGTTCTTATGGAATATTCTCTTTAAAATGCAAACCTATATTCTCTTTTAGTAATGATTGCAGTGCTGTAGTACTGTATTCCCCTGTGATATTACTGAATCTTACTGATTTCATGCATTTCAAAAAGTAATCTCTAGTAAAGTTGATATTGGGAGAGACTTGTTGGAATGGTTGCACAATTAGCTGCCTAATGCTAATTTAGTAAGCTAAGCTTAATTTAGTAAGGAAATTGTGCTAGTAGAATTTTGAATGGAAGAAAACATTGTACAAGGACTAAAGACTTCTTTTTTTCTGTTATAACTACATTTAAATTAAAAACCAATGTTAGATATCTATATTTATATACACTGACATGAATCAAAAAAATTCCTTTTACTTGAAGTGAAATGAGAAGTAGAAGTGATATTCATAGGTAAAAGATTTTACTAAACAGCTCATGTTCTGTCATCTGTGCATTTCTTCATGGCTTCTCTAAGCTATGCCCTGCTCTGCATCCCAAAACATATGACATCTTACTTATGTTTTTAATTGCTATTCCAGATTTCGGGAAGGATTTTGAGTACATCTTAATGCAGTATTTTTCTAGTTCTAAATAGAAATACTAAAATTAAAAAAATATGTATCTTAAAATGTAGTCATTTCAGACTTATAGAGAATGTTATTTGGAGATAAGGTTTTTTTGGGGGTAGGAAAGAAAAAAATCCGTCTGCCTAGCATGGAAACTGTAACAAACTTTTTGCAAATATCTTTTCTGTGTGCGGTGTGTTTTCCTTTTTTACTGCTTATTCTTCCTTTTGTTTGAGTTGAATTCATTTTTGTCGTATGAGTCATGCCAAAATATCTCAATGACAATTAGCTTTTATTTATGTCCTCATCTATACAGCATTGTACCAAACAAATTGTAACTCCCAAAGACTTCTATTAAGTTTAGTATATGACCTGCAGGTATTTCAGATCAGGTAATCCAGGAGGAACTTTCTTGAGCTTATTTTTTTCAAGGTGGATTTCTCGTATACTTGGTATGTTGGCAAAACTTCCATTTTCCACATCTTTGATTTTATTGTTCCCAAGGCCAAGCCTAGAAATAGTACAAGGAACATTTAATTGAAGATTGAGATTTACAACAGCATTCAAGGGCATGCTTTTTTTAAAGACTGAAATTCACAGGAGTATTCATAGGAAAAAGAACTGGGGAAGAATGATCAAGTCTCGCCTCTGACAGAAAGAAACTACCATTGACCTAACAAGTATTTTTTTGTAATTTAATCTCTGTTTAAAGGACAGCAGTTGACTAGATGTGAGCTATTGTCTAGTTCTAGTTGCACTTTTTCTTCTTTAGTCCAAGTGTTAAAGATAAGCAGCAACACATCTGCTTGTAAAATAAACCATGCCTTTTTATTGAGTAGCGTAGCTACAAAAAAAACCCTCATTCATTAATAAAAGGAGTCCTAATAAAGAGCCAAAGAAGAGAAAATCATATAAAGAAACAGTAATGCTTATATCTTACCATCATATTTTGAAAATCAGCAGTATTACTATCTTTCCTACTTTCACGTTTTCCTTATTTAGGTCTTAATTTGGCTTTTTATGCAAAACTTGACCCTGTGGTGCTTGGAAGGTGATTCAGAAGGTGGCAGCTTAAGCCATTTTGCTCCTTCAATTCATCCTTTAGTTTCCGTTTTCTCCTTTCTATATTAATTTGTTCAGAAACTGAAGTAGGTATTTAAAAGTTCAGTAGTTCTTTGGTAGTGGTTTCTATTAATCAATATAAAATCCGGCACTGCTCAGCCAAATTTTCAGGCTACTTAACTAAGCTTTAGAGAAAGAAGTTCATACTTCTGTAATCAGATGTTATTCTTTACACACTTCTAATGAGGATTCTAGGTAAGATGTAACAATAACAAGGCCAATATTTTTAATATATACAATATATATGAAGTAAAAAATATTTTATATATAAAGTTTGGTCTTATTTACAGCAGTTCTTACTCTAAAGCATTTACAAATTTGAGTTCTCTATTGTCATATTCATAACAGAAGTATTAGGTAAGAGGTCCTATCAGGACTGACCTCTTATCACATGAAAGCTTTCTGCTTGGAAATTTTACCTTTGAAGATCTTTATACCGGTTAAAGTCTTCAAGTTCGACTGCTGTGATCTTGTTGTCATCTAAGTGAAGCTCTAGTAGACTGGAGGGTAAATCTGATGAAAAACAAATGCTCAGTGTGAGAAAAATCAAAGAAATGATTTAACAGGTAATTGTTGGAGTAGTTATTATATTCCTCATATCTTCTTTTCTTTGTGTGGGGGTGGGTGAAGAGTCCTGGATGAGATTGTGTCAAACAAGGAGCATTAGGTACAGGTATGTTACATGTTCAAAGAACAAAACAGCAATACTTGTCAACATTCTTTGGTTTAAAATAGTGCTGTTGTAGCTCTGAGCAAATGGTCTGTGAGAAAAGCTTTTGGAATTCTCTGAGTAAAATGGGTTATCAGGTATCTTCTTTTCAGTGCTGGTACTCAGAGTGATTTCTCATACAAAACCAAATAGCCCCACTTCAGAGCTGCCTGTTCTGTGCTTTGTGAATAGGCCAGGAGACAAAAACCTTCTATACAACATCCAGTTAGAGAGGGCGAAAGAAGACAGTCACAGGTTTGCATTTTCCTTTGCTGATCTCACCTTTGATTTTGCTAGCATTTGTCTAGTTTGCTCCCTGACACCAAGCCAGACAAACCACATCTTTCTGTTCCTAGTAGTGCCTCCCAGAGCCCTGCTCCTACTGTTGCTTGTTGTAGCCCCAACTGAGACAGGAAACTGCAGGGCTGTGCTTTACATTCTGTCATTGCTGACATGTTTGGATGGGTGTTGTTTTTTTAGTTTACGTTGCAGTTCACTGTTTCACAGATGCTGCTTTTGTCCAAGTTAGTATGGAGAGAAGATTACCCATGTGTCCACTTCAGATTTTAAGTGTGTTTTGTAAATTATGGGTATCTTTAATTTTGTGCAGAAAGAAGGATCTGGAGACAAACTTAGTTTCCACATGTGAAGCATGTCCTAGCAATGAATTCCTGTTTACCTGAGCCCATGAATTGAAATAAACTCATGCTGTATTTTCTTATAGGATATTTCTCCATAACAAAGAGAAATTCTGAATCGTTTTACATATATTTTTTCCTGATAAGTGACAGGAGATGGTATTATGATGATACAAGAAAAATGTCTTGTGTGCTGGGATAGTGCTACCATAAGCACGCAGCTAGTTTCCGATCCTCAAAATATCTTAAGAACTGATGAAAGCCCTGAAGTGGCTGCTGCCGTTTCTTTGTTTCCCATTGCTTTCCCTGACAAACGTCTCTGGATGGCAGTGGCAGGAAGGGACTGCCTGCTGGAGCAAGTGATGGGGAGGGGATGGAAGGGCAGACCTGGGTGTGCCCTGTGTGTTCCTACACGTGGCTGCCTTAGGGATGTACCACTGGGTATTTCTGTACACTGAGAACAAGAAAAGTGAGAAAGAGGTGTGTATCTCAATGTATGAAACTTTTAATAATCATATTGATGTGAGAACACTGCATTTAAGATTATGCTGGTAAAGGCAAAGTAGACAAGGTAAAACAAAGCGTACCTTTAGGAATTGAAGTTAATTTAGCTTCTGCAATTCTTATGTGATAGATATTTACTCCTTCAAAAGCACCTGGCTCTATTCCATCATTGTTGAGAGGATTTGCACTCATTTCTGTCAAGGAGGGAAGAGAAAATACTCATGGCATAGGAACTTTATGTATGTTAAACTAGGTTATAACTGCTGACTTCATTTTATTAATGAATGTTAATATTTTAGAAATCCATTAGTCTTTAACTTTGATAACCTGCTCCCATGGCTGGTAGTGCAAACCTTTCAATGAATAAAGGCTGTCTAACTAGCCTTGCAGGGTTAGCAGGAACTTTACCTTTGTAGCAACCTCTAATAGAATGTAAATGATGTGAATGATGATGATCCATATCATGAATATCTCTTTAAGATGAATTTCCACGCAGAGGAAATGTTTGAATGAAAGTTGTATGCAATATAGTAATTCCTTAGTTTAGACTTTATCTTTCTGCTCAGACTTACCCAGAACGTGTAGAGACTTCATTCCTTTAAACGCATCCTTGGGGATTTTCTTAACCTTATTAGCATGAATTCTGAGCTCTGCTAAAGTTTTTGGTAGGTTTGTTGGGATCTCAGTTAGCTGGTTATGAGATAAATACAGTCGTCGCAACTTCTTGGTAGGCTGAAAGGCTTTTGGATGGATCTTGGTTATCTTATTGTTGTTCAAAGCAAGTGCCTATGACACGTGGGAAGAGCGACACAAAGAAAAAGTATAACGGTGTGTTATGATGAAGTCTTAAATCTGATGCATGGTTTAACAATGAAACATTTCAGTCCTCTAAAACACCAAACTCCAGCACGGAACTTGTAATGAGATAACACAGCCAGCAAGAGGCAAGGTATCTGATAGTTATTTTGCATGTCAGATCACATCTCTACGCTTCTATTTCTACAGGAGTGGGTTTTGTTTAGTTTTTTTCTTGAGGGGAGGGAGTTGTTTGGCTTATTGTTTTGTTTGGATTTTTCTTTTTTTCACTTCTTTGTGCTATTGGGAATTTGTCTTCTCCCCGGAGTTGTGAAAAAAGCTGGAGCAAAACAGAATTAATCTTTTTTCCAGCAAAAATGGGAATAGCTTAAGGAAATAAACAGGAAATGCTTCCTTTCTAATCCGTGTTGCCATCTGTGGCTTTGCTAAGGAGACTAATGCTCAGACATTTAGTGCAAAATAAACTTTGCTTTAACTGAAAATCGCTTTCGGTCTTGCCACATAATCACAAAGCAACAGTTGAAAAAAATCAAAGCAGCTCAGAGTTTTTAGTTATCACATAATTAAGTGGTGACTCTATATATAAGGTGGTGATTCCTGATGTATTCCAGTGCTTTTCTCTGTCCCTGGAAGTTTTGTTTCTGTTAGACCTTTATAAACCCCACTTATAAGTGTACGACCATTCTGTATCCAGACATTGTACTCTTAAGGGGAATTGGAAACTCATTGTTCCAAACAGTGAATCAATATGATCCCCACTTCTGGTTTCCTAATAATTAGAAAGCTCATGGGTGAACACTTACATTCAGCACATTTCTGTTCTTGCTCAAAACCAAATATGACTAAAAAGGATTCATTTGATGTTGCTTTAATGTGTACTTCATGTCTTTCTAATGTGCAGTAGATCTTCATGTTATGATCTGTGGGACAGATTTTTCACTTTTATAATGAAAATTTTGTAATTGTTCCTTGCTACTGGATCTAGAGTGACATCTTGTGGAGATTGTACTCCAGAACAGATTTAACCCATCTTTATGGGTCTTTGAGCCTCTTTTATTCTCTTCATTGTGTACCATAACTTTCTTGATTTATCAGTTGCTCCTGCTACTCATTTTAAAGTCTGTCTTTATGCGTAACTTGAGCATGTGAAGATCACATAGAAAAGCACAAAGCTTTTTTTGTTAATTCAGCACTGCTTTATTTTCTGTTTAGGAAAATTGGGTAAGTAACCTCAGTTTCAGTGCTATATGCATTGGTTGTACGTTGTTTGCTTTTGGAGGTACTCTCAGAAAGCACAGATTGCATTTTCCCATGAGAGAGTGAGTTCTTTCTACTGTTTTACAGCAGCCTTTAAAATGTAGGAAGTGTTCTTGTACATGCCTAGAATTGAATAAGTCTTGAGGATCTTTTTGGTGAAACATATCATAGTATGTTTTCTGGATTTTTAACTTTTACAGTTCAAAGAAATTTGCTTCTTACTATGTCTGTGCAGCCAATATGCAGGCATTGGACTGCATCTTTCTGGATGCTGTTGGAGAAGAGAAATACCATTTATATTTTAAAAGTATAAAGATATTTAAGATTGCTAAATAAGATTTCACAATTGGAAAGCAGGAAGCTTACATAAAGTGATGCGAGTCCTTGGAGATCGTTTTCCTTGACCTCTCTTATTTTGTTGTTCTGAAGGTCAATCATGCGAGTATCTGGTGGAATGTTGCGAGGTATTGATGTCAAACCTGTTTCAGGATGTGAGAGGAACAGAAGCATTACCTGCCTTTATGCACATCCAAAGAAATAAACTGCTAAACGGGAAAGAAAAATCAGCACTAAAGCACCAGATAGAGGAGAACACTGATAGTGTTTGGAACTGATTATGTAAGGATGGCTGTCAAAAATGAGTGGAGTAATTTATTCTCATGTTGATGAAAAGCTTACATGGCGTGCTCGTTACATGCTGCTAGAGCAGTTTGTTCTCAGACAAGCAATGGCTGTTTTGTATTTAGGAACAAAGCTGTTCCCGTGGCTTGGCGAGATACCTGCTCCGCTGCTGTCTGCTGCTCTGCATCTGCCCTCAGAATCTGCTGGAGCAGCCCAGTTGCTCGCGTTGCCATGCATTAATGTCAGGGCTGAGCAATGTGTTCTTGATGTAACCCGCCAAGATCCGATGTCTCAGCTTCCAGTACCCAGTTATCGCTTATATGAATTCCCCAGTCCAGTTTGATTACAAAACTGCTCCAGTTCATACAATCCAAGGTCCTGACTCAGCAGAGGAGACCAGCGAAGGGATAGCAACTTGCTTGTTTGTATTGCTTAATACTGGCAGATTCAAAAACAAGCAAACAAAAACCCACAAGAACACGGGATTTTGATTCAATCTTTCTAAGATGGGAAGAGCCTGGGATTAAGTCTGGAGGCCTGGTCCTTTGACCACCCTAAATCATCAGAAAATTTCAGTGAGACTAATTCCAATTGGAGCAATTAATAATGAATTCATACTTAGGAATTTTGATCATTAGGGATGAATATCTGTAACATTAACGGTGGCAGTTTGGCCTTCGTTTAAAATCTTGTTAGCAGTGACATTCAGTTGTAACTGGAGTTAAGCTAAGCAAATAATTTGCATCCTACTTATACATTTGCATTATAACTTAGTTGTGGTTTATTTATGGCTGCTTTTCCATTTGCTATCATTTCTTGATGTTTGAGCTGTTCCTCTGTAGCTGTGAATGGAGTAGATATTTAGCCAAAACCTTTTTTGGCACAAGGGTAATTTACTGAATGCAAACCAAAGATGGGTGAATTTTTTCAGCTTGTTTTCTTGTATATAATTAAATTGATGTTTGCAATCCTGATTGGAAAAAAGAAACATAAGCTTACTTTGAAAATGACCTGTATAGTAACAAAGAATCAAAGAATCATTAGATTGGAAAAGACTCCTAAAGGCCATCTAGTCCAACCCCCTGCAATGAGCTCAGGCATCTGCAGCTCCATCAGGTGCTCACTGCCCCTCCAGCCTGATCTTGAATGCTTCCAAGGATGAGGCACCACCACTTTTCTGTGCAACCTGTGCCAGTGCCTCACTGTAAAAAATAAAAATAATAAAAAAAATTTCCTTATGTCCAATCTAAATCTCCACTCCTTTAGTTAGAAACCATTTCCCTCATTCTGTTTCAGCACATCCTCCTGAAGTTTGGCCCCTTCCTCTAAAGGGGCTGCTCTCAGGTCTCCCTAGAGTCTTTTCTTATCCAGAACAAACAGCCCCAATATATGAAGGTGTGCAAATTACGGACCTGCAGAATTCATCCTTTAAAACAGGCTTGCAAAGGAGAATTAAATGGACAGCAGAATTCTTACCTAGATCAGAACAGTGAACAACTCTCACATAACACTGGCATCCAAAGGGGCACGTTGGGAATAGATCAAAAGGGATTAGAGGAATAATTGGTTCAGTGGTTGGAAACAGAGAATTGTCGTCGTCGTCGTCATCTTCTTCTTCTTCCATATCTTGGAGCATCATATTCTTTAGTGTAAAATATGAAGGACCAATGAGAGGTTTAGCAGAGCACAATGCCAAGAAGAGGAGGAGTGTGTACTCTTTCATGTTGTCTTAATCAGGATGGATGATCTTTAATAGAAAAGAAAAATGGAAAATCCCAGGTACAAGAATCAGTGAATGTGAAACAGCAAATAAAAGTATTGTAGTGTTGTCTTCACTTACTGCTACAATTGGTTGTCCAGAAAAATGGTCTGTTTTGAACATTACTATATAAAGGCTAAATATTTTAAATGCTCTCTGAAGCCTGAAAATATTGAAATCATTAGTATATAATTATGCTTTACAGAAAAATAATATAAAATTTAAGTGAAATTCATTAGACTTTAATGTGCTATCAAAGCTCTTTTAGTTCAGTTTTAAAAATAGTTTCATCATTTACTTTAGGCTCTGAAATTAAGGCTTTTAAATGTGTAGTTTTTGTAGCAGATCTTACTAGAGTTTGAAATTGGATTTGTTGTATTAATTCTTAATGAAAAATACTTTTAATTGGGTATGGGGGCATATGTGCATTGCTTGTTTCTAGAAAATTGGGAAATATTTATTTAGCAAACACAGAATGCTTTCATCAGGATACTCCCTAAACACCACTTATTCTACACTCTTGACACTTCTAGTTAAATAATTCTTATTTTAATTTGGAAAAATCAGAGTTTTCTGGTCCTTCAAGCTGGAGGACACAAAGATGTTGGATAATTTAGGGCACCTCCAAAGCAGAAAGCTCCATGTCAGATGCCTATAATTACCTGATGTTCTTGACGAATGCACAGACTACTGAGGATTTCAAAAGATTTATCTTTAGAAAAATATGAAAAAATATTTAGCCATTCCAGCTGCTCATTCAGTTTCCTTCTGCTTCTCTTGAGATGGATTTTTACCAGATTTCTTTTAGCTGTACCTGACTGAGAAAACCAGGAGTCTGAGTTGTCCAGTCCTTAACTACACAATATTGTGTTACTGATGATGGAGATCCATAGTTCAAAGCCTTTGAGTGTTTTCTGTATGCTCTATTTTTTATCTAAGAATGATTTTATTGACCCAGTTAACCTGTGAAATAGAGGTAGTAAGAATTGCCACAGAATGTTTTGCAACTTTCAGACAAAATACAGTAATTATAGAATTCATTTTGATTCTACAAGCAAGTAACTAAAGTATTGCAACCAGAACAGCCAGTGCTACAGGGAAGTAGAAAATCTACTAGGAGCTATTGGCTTCTCTCTACTCCTGGAAAAATATACCAAGACTGAAACCAATGCAGTTTAAATTCTGTCTTTCTACTGCAAATCCTGATGATACGGGTTGGAATTTGAGCGTCGTACTCTCCTTTTCCACAATTTCTTTACCCTCCATACAAATGGTACACAGGAATTTGGTTATCAGTATGATTTCAGAACCAGACTTTGTATGCTATGTTCTTACCTTGAGGTTACAGAAAATATTTTTAAGTTTTGTTAGCAAATGTGAACTTGTTTCCATATGTAAGATGTAGGTTTGAAGTTCCTGTGGAGCGTGTAAGAAACTCTATGAGCACAGCAGGTACCAGAAGTGAGGGCAGTGATCTCTTTGGATCACAGGGGTTCTGATGGGTCAGTGGAACATATGATCAAAAAGGCCAATCTCTTGTTGGGAGATATTAGCTGCTGCTCTTAATTGGTGATTTTTAGAGTAGTATTTATGGAAGAAATAAGTTTTGTCACCTTGAAATAGTTCATTAGCTGTGCATGCCTGCATGCTTTCAGTCTCATATGGGGATTAGTCAAGTGTTAGTAAATAGAAACTGAGGAATTAATTGCTCCTCTAAGGCTTCTCTTTGGATGCATTTCGGGGATTTATCACCAACAGTACATAAAGTGTTTTTTTTATATGCCATTTATTTTAAAAAAGCACAATTCAGGAAGAGGTTTGGATCTTACTGGACACTGTGTAAACTAAGAGGGGCAGTTGTAACTTTATTATGCATATCCTGTTGTAAAGATGTTTCTGTTTAGACTATCGTATGTTCTTTTGGGAAGCACTAAATGGATGGCAGTTCTTGTTTAGTCACCTGATCACAGACACCTAATTACTCACCGAGCTGCCTATAGCTGAAAAATATCTTTCTGTAGGCGATTTATCATTAGCCCTCAATCACAGGAAAAGCAGTACACTGATCTGTGCAGTCGTTTGAGTTGACTTACTCAGAGTTGTAGGATTTTGTCAGTTTTGTGTTTTTATACAGGATGATTTTGATGTTTTTTGTATATAGTTCTTAGCAACATTAAAACACTGTGCACTTCATACACTATGCTCATGCAGCTGTATATGTTTCAGGGTGTTTAAAATGATAAAGGCTACCAATCTGTAGATTACACAAATTCCACTCTTCTCAAGGAGAAGAAAGTGACTTCTTCCTCTCTAATATATCTGAAAACAAGCTCAACATACATTGTATCTTGCCAGTTTAATATTTATTGTAACCTAGTTGAACGCTCATTTGAGTATTGTATGTTTTACTCGTTTAACTGTCTCTTAAAAGAAGATTCACATATATATATATATATTTCCCATCTTTTCTTTCTTGTTTTCTGTTCTGTTTCAGCGCGCTTAAAAATAATTCAATAGTTATACTTGCAATCCTATGCAATTTGTTCTCTTGAAAGGATCTCTGAATGTAAATAGTGTGGAGATCAAGATATGGAACCTGCAATTATTTGTTTGGAGAGAACTGCGTTCTTGTTTGGTGTACATCTTTGGGTTCTCTGGTCCTACTAGTCTTCTTCTGCAGCAAAGCAGTCAAAAGTTCCATACTTTTGTTATACAAAATGATGAAGAGATAAGGAGATTGAGGTCCTTCAGGCTTCTGAGTTGTTCTTGGCTGAGTGCCTTAATGGCTGGGTTCTATAAGGCAGGCGTTTATCTGGTCTCCCTCTGGCTGCTTAGGTGCTGAGTGACTGACCTCTGTGCTGAGCTCAGTGCAGTCTGGATGCCAAGCTTTAAAGTGTTTATTGTATCTTGGGACACCTACTCTCTATGTCTTCATCAACTTCTAATTCTGATGGGCACTGTGTATATAAATTTATTATGCTCAAATAATAATCTTCCATGCCTGTTGTGACATGCTGCTCTGGATCTGGTGTTATGAAGCTGGCTTGTGAAACTACTTAAAAATCAATTTCTGTGCTTGTACCTATAGCAAACAGTGTTTTTCCTTTCAGATACTAAAAAAACATGACTTCAAACTATGAAAAGCTTGTAATGTTGTATTATGCCACTGGCAAAATGTATTAGTCCTGTGAGTTAAATGTCTTGAAGACAAGTCCTTTTGCAGAACAAAGCCTGAGATGCGATCCATTTTTTTTAAGCAAAGAGGAAAGCCTTTGCCTGATGTGATCTTCCCATTTTGTCGCTAGGAGATTCTTATTGCTTTCTGACTTAGTAGCAAGCAGCAGCAACCAAGTTTGACTTGGTGGTACTGGCTGAAGAACTGCATGGGGTTTTATGGAGGTTTTATGTGATTTTTTTTTTATTTTCTTTTTTCTTGGCTGCGCTCTTGAGTTTCCCAGTAAGTAGCTGTTGATAGGTCTGTGCAGGAATGTTCTGACTGGAGCACACTGCAAAGCACTTGTACAAACTTTCTGCATACTTAAAGAGTAAGAGAATGAATAAAGCTAAAGCCCGAAATTCACATTTGTGATAATCTTTCTTTAAATCTTAAACATTATTTTACCATAATAAACTTATGAAATATTTAATTTCTTTCAGAAAACACAGCTCATGAATACAGCTTTCCTAATGGTGTATTGCTGCCACTTCAGGCTTGTTCTGCTTTCAGGCAAATACTGTTCTCTTACCATATCTTTCACTCAGGCTGCTCACTGCGCTGAGTGAACTCACTAAACCAGCAAGAATTTGTGTCATTTAAAAAGTAAAACCCAACACACTTTCCAGATGAAGAAACAGAATCGGTCCAGGTGTCAAAGTCAGCACAAAGAAATGGGTGGGAACAGCTGGGCTGGGGGAAGGAATGTTAACAGGAGACAGAGAAGAAGAGTGAGCTAAACATTTTTGACATGTGCCAGCTGCTCGATGGGCTCGGGTGTTTTATTGGACACTCGCTGTTGTTTAGACAAAGTCTGCCCTTCTCCATTCTCATTTTTATCAGAAGGGAATTGTAGATGAGTTCAAGAAAGAATGCAGTGTATTCAGGGTGGGCTCAACTGCTTCTTCAATACATATTTTTATATAGCAGCCCTGCTTTTGCTTTGGTTTCCTTCTGAATAATACCTTTTCACTGGAACACCAGGCACCTCACAGCAAAGTAAAGGAACGCAGACAGGACACTTTACATGTAGGGCACGCGGAGATGCTGTAAGGCTGACTTTATTTGACAGTCCTAAGTGGCTGTGACATACTTATCCTCACTAATCTGGTGATCAAAGCACAGATTGCCAAATAGCACCTGGAAGCTATACACTTTTTCTATTGTTAATTTAGGATAACATTGATACCAAATTAAATACAGGTGATGTCATGGTATGGGATGGGATTAAAGCCATTTACAGACTGCCTGGGAAATTCCCACATAAGCATGCAACAGTTCTGTGACATGAGAATTGTAAACGTGAGTAATGGGAGGAAAAGCTGCTTGTGGGGACAGAAGCAAGGCTGTTAGTATGAGATGGCTGTGCTCCTTGGCACTGCTGCAGTGTGTTGTCTCTGCTGCCTTACCCCTTACAACACTGAAGTGGTTAATAGGCAAGGTTTTAACATCACGAAACTGTAAGAAGTACGTTTACAAAACCCTTCTGTTAGCAGTGTAGGAAGGCACGTTTCCTGTGGCACTGCTTCTGAAAAGGAGATGTTGAAGTGGCGCGCTGGTGGTCTTGACAGAGTCAGAGAAAAATCCCTGTGTTCATTAATAACACGCATCATTGCACTGTGCACAGACTTTGTCCAAAGAAAGGCAAGACCGTTGCTGTTTTGAAAGCTCTATTTAAAAATAGGTCTGGTTCTATTAGTCATTGTCCCATTCCACAAATAAATGAGTTTCTGTTTAACTCTTTGTCTACTCCATGCTGAGTAATCTACTTTAGGAAAATAGGAGGCAATATTTTGCCAGTGAGATTACTGAAAATTGATTTTCTTGAGAAACAGTCCAGTCTTGAAACTATATAATTCAATAATTAACAGCTTGTTTATAATATAAGTAGTATTTGGTGAGTTTTTACTTTCCAAAGAAAACGCTGCTTCGCCCATGTCATTAAACATTATCTAAGAGTTCTTAAAGTTATCTTCATTTGGAGAAGCTTAGCACTTTAATATGTCATTTCAACTACTTTTCTGATTTTTTTTCTTTAACAGCAGCCCTCCTCGAATGCCTAAATTCAGATAGTAAGTTGTAAACATTAGAACTGTTATAAACATAGAATTGAGTTTCAGAGATTGTAATAACTGGAGAAAAATGCTTATTAGCAGTTGTTATGAAATTAGAAGAAGTCCTTAATAGTTAAATAGTTCACTGTATCCCTTTTTTTTTTTTGCCTTGCAGCTCAGATGTAGTAATCACAGAATTATTTCAGCTGCAAAGTAGATTTCATATGTTCCATAAAGAAGTGGTATTTATTCTAAATTAACTGATGTTAATCTGCACATAGTGGCTAGTAATCTGTTGCTCAATTCCTTATTGCTATGCAAATATAATAGGTATTCAAACTGGACATACCTTGCAAGTCTGATAGTTCTTCCAGAAGCACTCTGATAATCCACCTGAGATCTTTTTGTCCAGTTATTTCATTTATAAAAAGAGAGGGAAAGGAAGTTAGGCTGAGTGCTGTGAAGTGCAAAGTAGGTATAAAGAAAAATTCCACTTGCAAACTTCTTGATCCTCCTGGCACCCTGGGTGACACCCGAGTAAACTGCTGCTTCAGATTAGCCCATCTTAGTACTGAAGAATGATATTAAGGCGACTTGTTACCACTCATATGTTTTTCATCACTGCTTGTATGAGAGCCAAAACTTCTGGCTTAACTCTAGACGTCTAGTGGACGACTTTGTAAAACCTGTAGTTTAATAATAGTTGACATCAGGCCACTGGAAGTACAGTGAGGTCCATTTCAGGTCATTCCTGCTATGGAATCACACTTATTTTTTATTACCTTTGCTGTTCTTCTTCTATAAGTGAGACACTAATAAAAGTATAAAATTGTAACCAGTGGCAGTGTGAGCCAGTAGCCTGTAGTGCTATATGTGTTGCCAAAGCCTTCAGAAGGTACCAAGTTGGTACTTTGTTGTGCAGTTAGATATCAGTACTGCTCATGCTTTCAGTGCAACTTATCTGTGTAGGCGAGATGGTTTCAAGCATGCACAAAGTAGATCAGATTGTTTTAGTCAGTGTAGTCTACTGAGTATGAGGAATTAAGCATATCTTTAAAACAGAGGCAGTATTTGCTGTGCTCTGTGACAAGGATTGAAGCTGTGAGCTGCTTTAAGCAAATTCTCTGAGAGTTTGCACTGTTATGTTGTTTGTGCTGTCACGCACATCATGATGCTTAGAAAAGGATCTGGTCCTTGTTTGCCTTCAGTAGGCTGCCTTCCTATGCGTGCTTCAGAACCGTGTGACTAAACTTACCGGAGCACAAGTTTTGTAGTTGGTGTCTTTGGATGTCCAGTTCATAGCATCCATCTGGTTCCACGCGCTCCGTGCACATCTGACTTCAACTGGTCCTTTAATTGACTCCCTTCTATGCTAAGAGTCTGCTCTAGCTACAGAAGTACAGTTGGATTTTTATTTTAATCTAAGTGTAACGTGTTGGTGTCTGCAAAATGGCAGTTTGTCACATACTAGTTAATCGGTCTATGGTTAGTTTCTTCAGAAAGAAATAAGTATTATACCAAAGCTTAAACCATGGGTGAGATTGTATCAAACAAGATAAGAGTTGTGTTACTTCCTGCATTGTTTTTCAGTTCCAGCAGAATAGATGAATGATGATAAACTTTCTCCCTGTCGCTGTTCCCAAAGAATGAAATTACAGTTTAAAGAGCAATCACATTCCCACATAAAAATCTGAGAGATGATCTTTAAGTCTATTGAAATCTCAAATTGCATGTATCTGCACTCCTGCCTGCATTTAGAAACCAAAGCTTCCTAACCAAATACTCTTGTGATTTGAAGACATTGGTTTGGATGCACTTTAGCAATTTAATACAAATTTGTTCTTTAAACCTCCAAAGTTTTCTTGGCTCTTTAACAGAAGAGAGGGTGCTCTGAGGGCTGTGATACGAATGCAATGGTTTTCTTCTTTTTCGCTTCTTTCAGCAGAAAAATGCTGAATCAACAGTTTTGGTTGTTCCTAGCTTTGCTGAAACACTCCATATTCCTGGTGCTTGGCAACAGCTCTGTTCTGATGCTTTTAAATAAAATTCTTTTTTAAAAAATTTTCTGGCAGATGGAGTAGTATCTGGAAGAAATGTCACCATCCTGTCTTAGAATAGATATCAATTTGATAGGAGTAACTATTGATCTCATTGACATGCTTATGTTCTTGTAATGAAACTGTTTAGTATCTCAAAACACAAGTTTAGTATTTTTATTATGAATATAGTTACATTCTAAAACAAAATGCTCAAAAATAACCCTTCCAGGTCCCAGGAGTACAGAATCCTGGTATTTAAATGTTGGCTGTTGATAGTACTGAACATTAAAATAGGCCAGTGGTTCTCAGTCTAATTTATGTGTCTATTAAACACAGCATATTTCCAATTTACGAAAACTAACTACTCTTGCAGAATTCCTCTCTAGGATCCCTGTTTCCAATTTACTTGAAGTTTTGGACCCAATGGCACTACATGAGCCAGCACAGCAGGGCAGCTGTAGACTTTCAATGAAAGCTGGAGTGTGCAACTGAGAGATTTGATGCTAGGTACTTGATGTTCTGCTCTTCTCACTTTGTAAGGTAAGACTGCAGTGTACTTCTGTAAAATGCATAGCAGACGTACAAACAATTTAGCTGCAGTCTACTGAGGTTAGGATCAACTGCTGCTATCTTGGATTTGTTATAAAGCAATTGATTTGCGGTGATACATTTGAAGATACTATGAAAAGAAAAATCAATCCAACTGTTTTATGCTCTTTTCTGAACAGCAGATTTGGGTTTTAAATAGCCTGGTTCAACAAGATGTGTGGCAGTCATGTAGTCCAGCACATTTGGGTTTAATTGACAAGAGATGCTCTTAAATAGAAAGTAGTCTGAGGCAGGCACCAATATGTACATTCTCTTCTATATTTTATGTTTAGTAAATGAAAATTGATTGAAGGTGAAACTGTTCAGATGTTTACAGTGATTTCTACTTCCAACAATGAAGGAACTGATAGGAAATTAGAATTCTGTTCTTAAAACGTAACCTTGATTTCTTTATCAAAAGGAACTATATTTTTATTGCTTGCTATGTCTGAGCTGTCAAGCATATGCTGCCATATGCGGATTATGCTTACACTGCAGTCTTTTTTTTTAGGCTGATCTTGTATATATTTGTCTTTGTAAGGCAAAATAAATACTTTTTCATTTACTAGCACTGTTTATAAATGTGGTTTACATAAAATGATGAATCTAACATCAACTGCAAAAATGTGCCTTGGAGACTGCCCATCACATTTTAATGACATGACTTATTCCTTTCATGCTCAGAACCAGCCCATGTTGAGAGCAGTCTCACATTTTAACTATTTTTTGGCTTTTCTCAAGTTGAGCTACGGCATTCAAGCCATCTGAAAGCAGAGAAACTGTACTCTTCAGCTTTTTTGTTTGTCTTAACTCTTCAGTAATTACACGTCAATTCATATTTAGGAATCACTGCTATTTATTGCAGTGCATTAGTTTTTACTTGTTAGTATGTACTTTTTTGCATATTTTTGACAGCCAACTTTGAAATTGCAACAACCGTGTTTCGTTTTGCAGCCTGGCTTTTATTAACAATTTATATATAGATATGTAGATATACTATCTATATGCAGAAATAAGTTACAGCTTGTGGTGTTAAAAGAGCTGGGAATCCAATTCTGCATGTACCCATGTGATTGTCAGATTTATCAGTCACTGTCAGCAGCATCTGCTAAGAGTTTGCCTTGTAGTTTTAGTGTTTTATGCATTCAGTAATCTGGCAATCATGACTGACTAGAGAGGTGAAATAGTAACCCAAAGAGACAGATCTAGTTCTTCACCCTTGCAGATTGTATTGCCTTAGATGAGTAAGTTAACTTGGTTCTACCTTAGGCTGCAGATTAGTACAAACATCTCCATGTGGGAATACTGCTGAAGTAGTCCCAAGCTGCCTGCTTCCCACCATGATTCTCATCTCCTTGATCCTGTAAATAATTTGGAACTTAACTGGATGAGGAATCTGCTCTACCTGGGAGATAACTTACTTGATGAATGAAGGTCTTGAAATAGTTCTGGTTTCAGTACATGTCAATTCTTTGCATTGCTTTGGAGTTTTTGCAAAAACTTACGAGTTTTGATAGCGTCGTGTGACATTTTCATGGAATACGAATGCTGATCTTTCTTATAGGCATTGGGAACAGCAGACATTGTTTCATGGAAAATCAAACAGTAGTTAAGTTCTGCAACCAGTGCCAAACTACTGAATCACTCAGATAATAGGGAAAATATTCTGTTTCTGGTTGCTACATTTCCTCATAGAATACCAAGTGTTTACACTGTGAAAGTTTAATTAAAAAGTAAAAGCAATAACAAAAGCAAGAAACTGGTGGCCTGCAAAGTAAGGACATCCTGTTTTTCCTTTTTTCTGTTTTTATATAAAAGCCTAAATGATAAAGTTTGCTTAGAACCTTTTGGTAGGTTTATGTTGTTCAGAATGTAAGACAGCATTTAAAACATCTGTCACCAACTTCCATTGAGTGTTAGTTGCTTCGAGGGGGAAAAAAAAAAGAGCTGTGCCCACCTGGTTCTTTGTATTGCAGAACAACATGAAGTGTTCCGAGTCAGCCTGCTAAGATAATTTGATGTGGTATTGTGCTTATGGCTAGCTTTGCTTATCAACAAAAGCAATTTAAATTGCACTGGAAACTCAAGGATCTAAAAGAAGGCGACTGGATCAGTTTATGACAAACTATTGAAAGCAGAAGCCGTACGTGTGACACTTATAGTGACTGTCTACAGTTTGCACTTCAGGTTTGATGAAGTACATTAGTCTGTAAATAGATTGCATGTACTTCCAGCATATACTGTTTTGTAGCTGGAAAAAGTAACGTTTCTAGGAAGGTGTCCAAAGTCTGTTTATTGCAAGTTTTGAAATACGCATTTTGTTGTTACTGTGGAATAGTTGAAGACTTTCAGAAACATTCTTAATAAAATAAGGCTATTATCTCACTAAAGAAGTTACTGCCCTACGATATTACTTCATCTCGCCTCTGTTCTCAGATGCATGTTTTGCTCCTGAGAATTCTGTAGGAGTGTCTCATTTGTGTCTCATTGGCACAGTAGCAGTAAGCTGTTCTGCAGGGCTGGGTCTGACACTAAATGCTTTGGGAAACATCTGAAAGACTGCTCTTTAATTGCAGTTAACTGCAGCTCTTATGATTTTAATATTATTTTATCATGTAATTATGAAATCGTAACTATTAGGCAATGTGTACAGTTTCTTTTCCCAAACTGGCACATAAAAAAATGGAATTCACACTGCTTTTATTTACTCGTACATATGTCATGCAATGTTTTGCTGAATTTTAGCATATGTTTTCTTCTTTTTCTTTCTCAACTGTAGGGGAAAACCACAAGTAAGGGTAAGAAGAAAAGGCACAAATATAGAAGCTAAGTGTAAATGGGAGAAACCTTGCAGTATTTGATATACTGTAGCTGGTCTACTAACTATGCAGTATGAGGTGGTTGTTGCACCTCTGTGCAAGCTCAGTCTTGCTTGCCATTGTAGGCACAGAAATGTGGTATGATAGGCAGCATCATACCAAGCACTCTGAAGAAAACAATCCCATCCCAGCTGAAAATGAGGCATAGGTGTTAGAGCAGAGTTGGCA